GAATGCATCATCACAGTTTTAACATGTTATTTCAGCTGCATTTGAACTAGTTTTATGCTCAGGCTGTTAGTTTTGCTTGAGTAAACTCAGTTGTTGTGTGTACTTTTATCACTATAATTAAAAAGCACGGATGTTTATTAATTTATTGCTGCTTTGTTTGTTTTGAATGGCTTCGTTAAGTTGTTTGGTGAAGAAACTGACCTGGTGCATGATTGGTTTTGAATAGAGAGGCTCTTTGTTTGAGGAGTGGTAGTGCAATAGGATTATTTTCTGGCTGAGAGAAATAAAGAAAAAAAGAGAGAGTTAAGGACTGAAATGCTGTAGTAATCTGTTTAATCCGTGTAACGGCAACAGGGACGGAGCTACTGAATGAGAAAACTAAATAAAGTGAATGAGGAAGAGAAATATAGATGCTCATTTAGCCAAAGTCAACAGAGAGAGGAAAATCACACAGCTCTGGAATAAAACAGACTGCTATTGTCAACACAACTGAACAGAAGTCTGGATCAAACCATAAAACATCAAAACTTACAGCTGCTTAGAGGAACGTTTGTCCCAACAGTCTCCTTTAACCCCCACAGCAGAGAAAATCACAAAGAGAATCACTGTAATATAACAATTGCTTCTTCTAGACAGTAATGAGATTAAGTAGAAAGTGTGATTATCTCAGATGTATCTCCTTAAGCTTCAGATAAGATCTCAACAGTATCTCAAAATGTACGCCTGACAAGAATCAATGTTCAAAAGCCTCTCCATACACTCTAAAAAATGCTGGGTTGTTTTAACCCAATGTTGGGTCAAATATGGACTAACCCAACTGTTGGGTTAAATTTTGGTTACATTTTTAAATTAGCTTTTTAACCCAACAGTTGGGTTAGTCCATATTTGACCCAACATTGGGTTGAAACAACCCAGAATTTTGTAGAGTGTAGGGTTCAATTAAACTATTGAAATGTGTCATCTGAAAAAAAAAGAAGATAATTTTTCAATTAATGCGCTCAGTTTATACCTGAATGTGTTAACAGCTCATTTATGATATCACAAACAGGCATTCTGTCACAACACTCATTGACTTCTGCTTGTCAATACCAAGAAATGTTCTTATAGAGTTACTGTATTTGAAAGTTCAAAATAGGTTATATTTATAGGGGTTTACATTTTCATAGTTTTCTTGTCACATGACAACAAAACCTGCATGCTGGTCTTGCCACACCAACTTTGATTTGGTGGATAAATGCTTTTGGATTATTAATCTTTTTTTTTTTATGCTTTATTGCATATTTGTGAAGAAATAATAAGACAATGACAAACTACTTATGCCAACATATCATACTTTCTTAAAGAGACAATTTTTAAAGTCTACAGACAGATATAGAAACTAGATATTTTGACTGTAGCCCCAACAAATATCAATAAATAATATATATATTATATATAATTATATACAATATAATATGTATAATATAATGTGTGTGTGTGTGTATATATATATAATGTGTCTAGCTGGTTTTATTTTATAATGAAGTAATTTGTAATCGCACATCACACTCATTACAATAAATAGCAATGCATACAATATATATATATATATATATATATATATATATATACACACACACACACACACACACAAAAGAAAAGTCTTAATTTATTCTCATTGCTGTTTAACAACTGAGATAAGTATTATCATAGTCTTATATCTTATTATGAATTTCTTATCAAGATGTTCCAAGAAAAATTCTCAAAAACATCTAAGAGCTTCATTGAGCCTATGTAGCTATGAATAAATGAGCTATGAAAAAGCAATTAAACTGCTCTCTTCAGAAAGAGGAAATTGGAGTGGGAAGCTTTGTTGTTTTACAAGTGAAATCAGGATTATTTAATGCAAAGATATAAAGGAGTCGCCCATAAAGAGGGGCTGAACAAAAATGGCAACAGATGCTGTATTGGATCTTTCTTATTTATTTATTTATTTTTTTACCTCCTCCCATTTCTCTCTCTCTTTTAGGCTGGAATCACATGGCCAGAGTGTGGGACAGAAACTAACTCAACAGCAGGAACTAAAATGCCAATCTTTGGAAGATAGAGGGAGCTTTTGTTTGAGAAAAGGACGACAAGAATTCCAAAAAAGGAGCTGGACTCTTCAGAGAGCGTTTTTGTGTACCAGCACACTTATTCAAAAGCCTACAACATACATACAGACACAACATGCTGCAGCAAATCCTAGCTGACATGTACATCGACCCTGATGTACTAGAGGCCTTAAATGAGGAACAGAAGAAGATTCTGTTCTTCAAAATGAGAGAGGAGCAAGTCAGGCGCTGGAAGGAGCGGGAAGAGAAGGAGGGCAAGGAGGGGATAAAAAAAGAAAAGCTCCAGCAAAAGAAAGGTATGAACTCACACCCTTTCTAAAAAATACAGCCACGTCTGTCATTCTGTCAGCATCAACAGGAGACAAAAACTATTTACAGAACAGTCAAATGTTTTTGCGCGTCTCTGACAGGCCACAATGTTTTTGCACATTCTTAAGTGTGTGACATCTTAATTGAACCTCACAAGCCCATTCGGAATAAAGTGAGCACAAGGTGAAATTTTTTCATTTGGTTCCGATGACGTTTTTCAATAGTTGAATTGAAACCAATGGAAAGACTTTTGAATAGTAATTGTAGAGAGCAGCTCAGTGAATATGGCTACATTCACACAGCAGTGCTAAATATATTTCAGTTCTGTTAGAAGAGAGAAAACCCGTGTTCACGTACACTTCAGCTATTAAAGAGCTTGACAATAGCTTTATGTAACCAAAATGACTACCTGACAGTTTCAAAAACCTTTTTTTTTTTAGAAATAATATTAATAATAACTTAACTAAGCTTCCCAGGCTTCCTGTTTCAATTATATCTGCATTTGATTTTTTCCATTTTATAACTGATGGGGGTACATTTCGATTTTTCAATATTATGTATAATAATTTATGTACAGTTTTTTAAATGCTGAAAAATGCTACTAAAAAAAACAAAGGTGTCTTTTCAGCATCATTACTCCCGTCTTAAGTGTCACATGACCCTTCAGAAATAATTCGCTGTTCAAGAAACATTTATTATTATCAATGTTGAAAATAGTTGTGATGCGTAACATTTTTCTGGAAACCAATAAATGTTCTTTCAAAAATAAAATCTTGCTGACCACAAAATTTAAATGGTAGTGTAATTTAAATACTGACAGTGCAATACTATTTCAACACATATAGAGCCTGATTTAGTGAATTCACCCCTTGCTGTGTGAACGTAACCAATCAGAGAATGATTCACTTTTATTGAATCTCTGTGCAGATCCTTTTACGCATTTCCAGCAAACTATACGACAGCAGCTTGTTACGAGGAACTCAAAATAAATCTTTTAACACGCCCTTACTGATGTAACAAGAAAATCAATGCCTGTGTGAAACGTACCAACGTCACTTCAAGGAGAGCACATATTTTTGAGGCCAAAGGAAATTAAGTGACCTGAAAGAGAGAAAGAGTCACATAACAATACCACAGAGACATGCTACAGCATGCTACAGCTACTGCAAGGGTGAAACCAGAGCCAAATTCCAGTTTTGCAACACTGACCTTGCACCACGGCACAATACTTACATGCAAATCACCTTGCAGTAGATTACTGTTTATCTCCATAGCATCAGCATTTGTAAGTAGTTGTTTGGGATCTAACCCCTGTAATGCTGTAGGGGCCCAGCCACCATAAATTCCTCTAAACATTTCAGGGCTTTCTAACACTAATGCCTGAGGATGTACTTTACCAGAAATTTGGGCATGGAATGTTCTCAGGAAGCACAACATGCAAAAACAAAGCAACCATAAAAGAGCCATTTTTGGTTGCCCAAAGAACCTTTCAGTGAACAGTTTTAAAAGAAACATTTTTCTTAGTGTGAACAGCATTTAAAAAAAACATTTTGTGGAATTAAAATGTTCCAGAGATTTTAAAGATTCCTTTATTTTTAAATGAAAATTTAGAAAATGTACTCACCCTTAGGCCATCCAAGATGTAGATGAGTTAGTTTCTTCATCGGAACAGAATTGGAGAAATGTAGCATTAAATCAAATGCTCACCAATGGATCCTCTGCAGTGAATGGGTGCCGTCAGAATTAGACTCCGAACAGCTGATAAAAACATCACAATAATCCACAAGTAATCTACACCACTCCAGCCAATCAATTACATCTTGTGAATGGAACGGTATTTGACCGTGCAATCAAACTAATAGATATAGCAAGAAACAAGTGCAAGAAACAAATCCATCATTAAGGCATTTTAACTTTTAACTCTTGCTACTGGCCAAAACAGTCCATAATTCATAATAATGCTTCAAGTCCATCCATCATCTCACGTCAAAATCCACATATTTTTAGAACCGCTTTGGACTGTTTTCAATTGTAAACTGCCTGATCTGTGCATATTTTTCTGAATCAGACAAGAAGACTTTTTCACTGGATAATTATGGATAGAGGACTCTTGTTGTAGCCAGAAGCAACTAATTAATGTGAAAAACGTCTTAATGATGAATGGAATACAAACATGCAGCTTGTTTGTAATCCATTCATTCAGTCCAAAGAATACGTGGAGAAACAGTCCAAAACAGTTCTCAAAAATATATGTGGATTTTGACGTGAGATGATGGATGGACTTGAAGCATTATTATGAATTATGGACTGTTTTGGCCAGTAGCAAGAGTTAAAAGTTAAAATGCCTTAATGATGGATTTATTTCTTACAAATGCAGATTTTCACTTCACAAGACATTAATTGAAAAAAAACAAAGGTGTCTTTTCAGCATCATTACTCCCGTCTTAAGTGTCACATGACCCTTCAGAAATAATTCGCTGTTCAAGAAACATTTATTATTATCAATGTTGAAAATAGTTGTGATGCGTAACATTTTTCTGGAAACCAAAAAATTTTCTTTCAAAAATAAACTCTTGCTGACCACAAAATTTAAATGGTAGTGTAATTTAAATACTGACAGTGCAATACTATTTCAACACATATAGAGCCTGATTTAGTGAATTCACCCCTTGCTGTGTGAACGTAACCAATCAGAGAATGATTCACTTTTATTGAATCTCTGTGCAGATCCTTTTACGCATTTCCAGCAAACTATACGACAGCAGCTTGTTACGAGGAACTCAAAATAAATCTTTTAACACGCCCTTACTGATGTAACAAGAAAATCAATGCCTGTGTGAAACGTACCAACGTCACTTCAAGGAGAGCACATATTTTTGAGGCCAAAGGAAATTAAGTGACCTGAAAGAGAGAAAGAGTCACATAACAATACCACAGAGACATGCTACAGCATGCTACAGCTACTGCAAGGGTGAAACCAGAGCCAAATTCCAGTTTTGCAACACTGACCTTGCACCACGGCACAATACTTACATGCAAATCACCTTGCAGTAGATTACTGTTTATCTCCATAGCATCAGCATTTGTAAGTAGTTGTTTGGGATCTAACCCCTGTAATGATGTAGGGGCCCAGCCACCATAAATTCCTCTAAACATTTCAGGGCTTTCTAACACTAATGCCTGAGGATGTACTTTACCAGAAATTTGGGCATGGAATGTTCTCAGGAAGCACAACATGCAAAAACAAAGCAACCATAAAAGAGCCATTTTTGGTTGCCCAAAGAACCTTTCAGTGAACAGTTTTAAAAGAAACATTTTTCTTAGTGTGAACAGCATTTAAAAAAAACATTTTGTGGAATTAAAATGTTCCAGAGATTTTAAAGATTCCTTTATTTTTAAATGAAAATTTAGAAAATGTACTCACCCTTAGGCCATCCAAGATGTAGATGAGTTAGTTTCTTCATCGGAACAGAATTGGAGAAATGTAGCATTAAATCAAATGCTCACCAATGGATCCTCTGCAGTGAATGGGTGCCGTCAGAATTAGACTCCGAACAGCTGATAAAAACATCACAATAATCCACAAGTAATCTACACCACTCCAGCCAATCAATTACATCTTGTGAATGGAACGGTATTTGACCGTGCAATCAAACTAATAGATATAGCAAGAAACAAGTGCAAGAAACAAATCCATCATTAAGGCATTTTAACTTTTAACTCTTGCTACTGGCCAAAACAGTCCATAATTCATAATAATGCTTCAAGTCCATCCATCATCTCACGTCAAAATCCACATATTTTTAGAACCGCTTTGGACTGTTTTCAATTGTAAACTGCCTGATCTGTGCATATTTTTCTGAATCAGACAAGAAGACTTTTTCACTGGATAATTATGGATAGAGGACTCTTGTTGTAGCCAGAAGCAACTAATTAATGTGAAAAACGTCTTAATGATGAATGGAATACAAACATGCAGCTTGTTTGTAATCCATTCATTCAGTCCAAAGAATACGTGGAGAAACAGTCCAAAACAGTTCTCAAAAATATATGTGGATTTTGACGTGAGATGATGGATGGACTTGAAGCATTATTATGAATTATGGACTGTTTTGGCCAGTAGCAAGAGTTAAAAGTTAAAATGCCTTAATGATGGATTTATTTCTTACAAATGCAGATTTTCACTTCACAAGACATTAATTGATGGACTGGAGTCGTGTGGATTACTTGTGGATTATTGTGATGTTTTATTAATTCTTATTCTGACTGAGCAAGTGATGTTCCAATGAAGCAACAAACTCATCTACACCTTGGATAGCCTAAGGGTGAGTACATTTTGGGTGATTTATTCCTTTAAAAATGAAAGTTCATTAGAGAATAGAGAAAAAAGAAGCTAATAGTGTGGTTTTCAAATGACAGTATGAGGAAAGAACTCAGAACAAGAGTTTGTGTAACATGGAATAAATATATTGTACATGGAATTTCAAAATATCAGATGCTCGTAACATCTGTGACAGCTTGAACCCATGTTCTCTGGCTGGGAAAAAACATTCAGTTCATGTGTTGATGACGATGGAATCCAGCTGAACAGGAATTGATGTTTACAACAGAATTTGCTCAAGGATGTAAATGTTCTTGTAAGTGTTCCTATCACTAGTGCTGGTATTCTCCCCCGGCTTCTGTTTCTCATCAAAAAAGCATCAAGTCACATGGGCCACATGTAACACAGGGCCTTTGTGATGTATGTTCATCTCCTGCACAAAAGAGAGCTGCTGTGTCACAGTTATGCAGTTGGACTCTTAATCATTTACTTTAGTTTGACATGAACACAGTCAAATCTCTTTCTGTACTGTATTTCTGTATTTCACTGCATTGTGAAACGCAGCTGTGTCTGTCTTTCTCTCGCTCAGCACTTTGTGGCTTCAGTTGCCTCAGCTGATACTGTGTGTGTCAGCTCTGCGTCAGGGGAAGTCGAGATAAACTTAATTCTTATTCTGACTGAGCAAGTGATGTTCCAATGAAGCAACAAACTCATCTACACCTTGGATAGCCTAAGGGTGAGTAAATTTTCGGTGATTTATTCCTTTAAAAATGAAAGTTCATTAGAGAATAGAGAAAAAAGAAGCTAATAGTGTGGTTTTCAAATGACAGTATGAGGAAAGAATTCAGAACAAGAGTTTGTGTAACATGGAATAAATATATTGTACATGGAATTTCAAAATATCAGATGCTCGTAACATCTGTGACAGCTTGAACCCATGTTCTCTGGCTGGGAAAAAACATTCAGTTCATGTGTCGATGACGATGGAATCCAGCTGAACAGGAATTGATGTTTACAACAGCATTTGCTCAAGGATGTAAATGTTCTTGTAAGTGTTCCTATCACTAGTGCTGGTATTCTCCCCCGGCTTCTGTTTCTCATCAAAAAAGCATCAAGTCACATGGGCCACATGTAACACAGGGCCTTTGTGATGTATGTTCATCTCCTGCACAAAAGAGAGCTGCTGTGTCACAGTTATGCAGTTGGACTCTTAATCATTTACTTTAGTTTGACATGAACACAGTCAAATCTCTTTCTGTACTCTTTTGATTTTCTCTCCGTGGACACACAACTGACAGGGTTTACAGCTCATGTCAATGGCAGCATTGTGAAATGCAGCTGTGTCTGTCTTTCTCTCGCTCAGCACTTTGTGGCTTCAGTTGCCTCAGCTGATACTGTGTGTGTCAGCTCTGCGTCAGGGGAAGTCGAGATAAATACTGTTGAAGTTTCCGTTGGCAGTACTTTTTGTACACAAACAAACAAAACTATTGGCTACCACTGGAACTTTGTACCTGAGACTCTTTCGCTGCCCACTGGAGAGAAAAATCACCAATGAGATTTCTGTTATATGTCAAAATGTTTCTCTTTCACAGCAATCAGATTGAATGGATAGCAAATGGAGACTTTGAGGTGTGGTCAGACTAAACATAAGCCTGTGGAATTAATACAGACACCTAATATGCGTCAATGAATATGAGCCGCAGGGTGTGATGTCACACTCCAGGACAGTTTTTGAAGTATAACCCATCCTTTTCTCCCCAGACATGTCCTCTAAAGGTGCAAATCATTTAGAAGCACACATTAGACCAGCAAATCCTCAGCCAAAGGAGTGAGTTTGTGAGCTACACAACTAAACACTTTACAATAAGTTCTGGTAACATTTGTTAAGGTGTCACGAACTAATACTTGTTCATTGTATAAATAGATGTTGGTGTTTTTCTGCATATTATGCATTTTTTACATTTAAAAAGTCGCACAAGTATTATATCTGCATTAATGATTCCTAATGCATTAACTAATGTAAGTAACATAACTGTCCTCTTTATCTTTTTGAAGCCTAACACTAGTTTTTGATAAATAATAGATTATACATATTATATCAACATATACAATCACTACTGAAAAATTAAAGCATGCAGCTCGTCTTAAACTTGTTTACACTCTTTAACGTCAAATATCTCAACATGAACTCAACCATTTATTATCAAATTACAAATAAGACCAAATAATCAGAACATCTTCATTGCTCTATACAAGTGCTTCCCAAACTTTTTGACCCCAAGGCCTTGTCCACAACAACAGTTAAAGACCTACAACCTCTCCAGCTCTTCATGATTCACTGGATAAATATTTAGCATAAGGATTTGAAAAAAATATTTTTCTCACAATATCTAGCTGATATACCTGAACTATTTTATATGAGCCGCAGGGTGTGATGTCACACTCCAGGACAGTTTTTGAAGTATAACCCATCCTTTTCTCCCCAGACATGTCCTCTAAAGGTGCAAATCATTTAGAAGCACACATTAGACCAGCAAATCCTCAGCCAAAGGAGTGAGTTTGTGAGCTACACAACTAAACACTTTACAATAAGTTCTGGTAACATTTGTTAAGGTGTCACGAACTAATACTTGTTCATTGTATAAATAGATGTTGGTGTTTTTCTGCATATTATGCATTTTTTACATTTAAAAAGTCGCACAAGTATTATATCTGCATTAATGATTCCTAATGCATTAACTAATGTAAGTAACATAACTGTCCTCTTTATCTTTTTGAAGCCTAACACTAGTTTTTGATAAATAATAGATTATACATATTATATCAACATATACAATCACTACTGAAAAATTAAAGCATGCAGCTCGTCTTAAACTTGTTTACACTCTTTAACGTCAAATATCTCAACATGAACTCAACCATTTATTATCAAATTACAAATAAGACCAAATAATCAGAACATCTTCATTGCTCTATACAAGTGCTTCCCAAACTTTTTGACCCCAAGGCCTTGTCCACAACAACAGTTAAAGACCTACAACCTCTCCAGCTCTTCATGATTCACTGGATAAATATTTAGCATAAGGATTTGAAAAAAATATTTTTCTCACAATATCTAGCTGATATACCTGAACTATTTTATAGAGCTTGACATATAGAAAATGTATATTCATGAAATGCATGAAAAATTTTCATGCAATTATAGGATTTTATTAATTTACATGACTTTTCAAGATGTAGAAATCATACTTTTATAATTAGGCTTCCTTATATATCCAGGTTTTTCATGAACCATGGTTCTTAGAGAGAAAACAGATTCTTGAAAAGAATACTCTTAGAATAGTTTGCTTGTGGGCCCCTGGTTGAGAACCACTGACCTGTTCTTCTACTATATCAACAATTGTCTCATTTATGCTTATTTTAAGGAGTTTAAATGGATAGTTCACCCAAAATTGTAAATTCTGGAACAATATAGATTGGAACAACGTCGAGGTTAGTAAATGAAGGCGAATTTTCATTTTGGGTGAACTGTACCTTTAAGCAGAAACAAAGAGCGACTTCCAAGCTATAAAAGTCTCCTATTGGATGGTATAAACAGATTTTTTGAGGGCTTGTTTTCTTTAATTTGTAGTTTTGTTACATAAAAGAAAGGAAACGCTCAACCATTGATAAGCTGTGCTCCTTTATAAGGTGTAGCTCTAATCTCGATGGCCGGGTGTAGTGCTTTAAGAAAAATTCATCAAAAAACACATTCATCATCATTCAGTTACATCACCTTTCAAAAACACACACCATGTCTTAAGCAGCATATGTGGGTGAACCATGTGACCTAGTCGACACACACACAAAGATCTAACCATTAGTGTGACAAAATACCTTATAAAGATGTGTGTCAGTTTTATTATATAACTTTTGTAGTTTCAGCTACACATACTGAACATTTCTGAGATTTCTAATAGAAACATCCTCTAAATTCATCCCTGCATGTAAGTGAAGCCATCTGATCTGCCTCGCTCTTAGATGTAGCGTTGCTTCTGTCAACCTGGAGAACCAGTTCTTTATGTAACCCTTTCTGCTGGTGCTGAGGGGTGTTAGGTTTTCCCTTATGTGTATGCAAAAAAAAAAAAAGGAAACGAAAACCAGATCGTGCCCTGCTGGAACAAACCGTTTCCTGCTGGGAAATTCTTGACATTTTTCTAATTCCCACTGTGATATGCATGGTATTACTATGTACTTTTAGATTGTTTAACTGAGGTGAACTGTGGCCCCCTACGATCACCACAAGGATCCTCTTTGTCACCTCTTATGTAAGAACCACATATAATTTGATCACACTTTATTTCTTGCCTTCAAACATTTGGTGTAATCTGAGAAGTTTAAATCCCACTGAAATAATGATATGGGTGACGGGAAAGGATTCACAGCCTTTGGTGGGTCGGTGCAAGTATCTGTAAGGTGATAATACAAGCCTGGCATTGACATCTACACACTGAATGACATTAACTTCTAAACCAGAGCAGGCGACCTACAGTATGCAGGATCAATTTCACTCAATGTCACAGTGCCATCTGTCTGTGAAAAGGACACACTACAGAGTGTAATGTTGAAAATCAAGAGGTCATGGTTTGGCTGGTTAACATCGCAAAGAGGTCTCTAATGCCTAAAAAAACATCCGTTAGTGTTACCAAATAAAATATATTGCGTCAGAATACAATTTTACAGGGCCGTCAATGGAGAAATATGCTTTACGCAGGACCTTTTGAATTTAGTAAAGAAGATCTAAGTAAGATGAAATGACAAGACTATTAAACCTCAAAAATACCCATTATCTTTGTTCAAAAAGCAAGTAAAAGGACTAAACGTGTTGTTGTCTCTGTTGTGCATCTTTGTCTTTGTAACTTAATTGTTTCTGTGTTGCTCATTTATTTATTGTTTCTCAGATATTGATTTTCTTGACATGTTTATTGTTTTTTCCTCAGGCCCTTGTAAAAGTGTGAGCTGGCTGCTTGGCAGCGACGGTGATGTGCATGTGTGTATTATCAGAGAATCTGACGAGCTCAAATCTCCAAAACTCATTCTGTCCGAGCTGAAAAACAAAGCTGTGGCCAACCCCAATACTTTCAACAGGTACAACACCCTCAATAATAGGTAGAAATACACTATGGAAGGGATAGGGATTATGGTTGACTGTACATTATGGACATTAAATATTAATTTAAATTTATATGATTTTAAAAAGGACGTATTTGATTGATCAAAAGTGACAGTGAAGACATTTACAAAGTTTCTATTCATCACAATTCGAAGACTAATATATATATATATATATATTTTTTTTTTTATAATATTAAAAATATGGTGAGCATCGACCCAAATCTATTTAATGGTAGAGTGTTTAGGAAATCTAGCTGTCTTTTAATGGCCATTGCACTAAAATATCTGATAGCTGAATACCTGCTAATATAGACTCAGAATCAATTATCCCAGAGAATCATATAATAAACCTCAATAACAGCAGGCAGAAATACTTACTAACTAATAACAGCAGATAAAAATACACTGATACTACACCATAAATTCAAACATTATAGCAATCTAACTATTCTAAAAAACCACAGAGTTAAATGTGCTTTTCTTTGTTCACAGAGCAAAAGCAGAACCTGTAAATAGCAGCTTGACCAAACCCAGCAGAGCACAACAAACCAGCACAGAATCAGGGATCCAGCTACTGCTCAAGGTGTGTGTGGATACTAAATGATGTCAATAAATAAATAATGTTTTGCTTAGGAAATTATGTTGTATTGGACATACTATGGTAAACCAACACAGTTCCAAAACTATTCATTGCACAAAAATGTTGTAAAAAAAAATCTTAAAATTGCCATAAACTTCATAGGCCCAACAAAATGAAAAATTATTACATTCACAATTTACACAAATTAATTTAGCAAACACGTTTAACTAAAACAACTTGCAATAGAGGAATACAAGTGATCCATTTTAAGGAGGCATAGGCTGAATAGTAAAACCACTGATCTATAATAGATCATATAATATAGATCAGATCAGTGAGTAAAACTGACTATTAAAAATAAATAAATGTTGAGTCACATTTGTCTTTTACGTTTGGTCATTTTTTTGTTGATTATTTAGGATGCCAATGTCACACAACCTCTCCATGTTGGTATCATGACTCGCTTCTGCGTACGTACATACTCTTTTCAAGAGCCTGCTTAAAGATGTTTTTTCATGTTTTTATGAGGAAAAAAAATAGTTGCACAATTTTGCGTTACAAAGCGTTTAGTGGATAGAAAATATCATTAGCTTAGTGTAAAAGCAATAGACCTGAATGGAAAGTCCAAACGTGTGCGTGAGTGTGCATATAATGTGATTTGACATGAATGTGCATATATGTGAGAAAACGCACATGTATGTGTGTATGACTTTAATAATAAGAGCAGCAATAATAATAAGACCATGGGTGTGTGTAGTTGGACAGGCTAGGCTCCCCTGAGCAGATGGTTTAGAGCCTGGGCAGAGAATTAAACGGTGTCAGATGGCATCAGTGCCACATTGCCAGAGGGAATACACACACACACACACACACACTTCCATCTCTCTTTGTGTCTCTAAATTTGTCAACTCCGATTTTATAAGTGTTTACAAATTAGTTTCATTTAATCTGCCACAGAAACCAGAGGAGCTCAGTGATTCCACAACAGTCTCAGATGAGTCCAAGCAGGACAGCGGTTCTGATCAGTCAGCTGACGATTATGGCCCCTGTTTCTTTCAACAATATACTACTATATATATATATATATATATATCCCAAGAGGTCAAACTAAACTTTTATTATCTATTAATTTAATCTGTTTATCTATTCATTCAGTTTGTAATATTGTTTTTTTCTGTGTTTGAGGTTACATTTTTTCATATATATTATATATTTACATATTACATATTTCATATATCATATTTCTATCCATAATTATAATTATATTATATAAATATTATTAAATATCTAAATATTATATTATTTTATTATAATACTACAATATTCATATTAATTTTATAATATGAAATATCTAAATATTAAAATATTTTATAATATTATTGCAGAACTAAATCATTAAATAAAATAAAAATAAGCACAAGATTATCAACATTTACTAGGGATGTAACGATTCACTCAACTCACTTTTTACAAAATGAGATTTAAGACAAATTATAAATAAATGTGTCCTTTTATTATTGCTTGGACAAAATGCTGCATGTTTCTTTGTTAAATTGAAATATAACACTATAATAATTTAATATAAATAATATACTAATACAGCACTTGTATATTATAGCTCTTTTGTTGGTTTTGATTGCTTCTATTGTCCTCATTTTAATGCGCTTTGGATAAAAGCATCTGCTAAATAATTTAAAAATATATATAATGTAAATGTGAATAACAAAACTAAATTAACATTTTAAAACAAGCCCCAAATCAAATAAATAAGTAACACAAATAAAATAAATCTCTTCATATAAACAAAATAAGGCTTTGTCTGCGCTCTTTCCATTTAAAATTAGAGGCAACCACTGCATTTGAATCATTATCTAAACAAAGATGCTGCATACATGAAACGTGAGCAGTTTTTAATCTAAATTACATTGTATAATTTCTACATTTGAAGCAAAAACAGAATGGTTTGACTTCAGTTTTGTGAAACTATTCATAACAAATATCTGCATGAAACAGAAACAGCAGACGAGCTGATCGAGACAGATTCACTCTCTGCCAGCAGGTGGCGCTTAAAGCGTTTCTTTGGTTTCCGCTGTAAACAAAGCAGCGCTGCACATATCAACTTTAATATGCATTATACAGAGGCAAGATGAAAAGAAAAAATAC